CATTTTTAATTTCCTTGAAAAAATGCGGTAAAAAAACTAAAAAGAATATAGAAATACAAGTTTCCTTTGTATTTCTGTAAATATGTTATCAAAAGTGGAAACGACTTGGTCCTTCGTTTATCGTAAATACGTACGGTTGAGACCCGACAAAATCCTTCATTACACGTTTTCGATACTTTTTGTTGCTTCGTATAGAATAAGATCTCATACACGAGAACGTGATACTTTCGCGTATTGCAATAGATTAGTGCTGTCCGCTTAGCGCGTTACCATACTCTCCAAGTATGTTATGGAAGGAGTTGGAATCGATCGAGGGTGATATTTCCGTTGTTGGTGAATCTTATGATAAGACACAAATATATGTATAGATAGATAGATGGAAGGTGGAAGAGAGTGAGAGAGACAGAAGGAGGGAAATGGGAAGAAGTAAATTACGAGATATTGCAGTCGTCGGTGTGAGTGTCTCTGATCTGTTGTTTGGTTTTTCGCGAAGCACGACGGATCAGGCTACGACTGCGTGGTTTACCTTTGCCTTCCTCGCCGACGACGACGACGACGTTGGAACTTTGCGCTGCAACAACCTGCTGAGAATTTCCGCCAGGGCCGGCGCTTCCGGTTCTTCCGTGAGGACTGCCGGACCTACCGATTCGATCGCCTCTGTAATACGCGAATTCGATGAAACTAGAGAACCGGTGTTTATTAGCGGTCGAGAACTAGGACTTTTACCGAATAAGTGAAGTATTTCAATGAGTTTCACCACGGTTCGCTCGTTTCAAAAGCGTCCCGATAAAGCCGCGAGAAAATTAGTTTTCGGGCTTGTTTACAGCTCGATAATAACGTTCGATTCGTGGCGAGGCGCAGCGAGAACTTTTGCCAAATTACTGCGCGCGCGCGCGCGCGTGTAGGTATAACAAAGTGTCACGTTACCGGAAATTCATTGTTTGCGTTTAATCGGAAATGTAAAAGTTAGACGAGCGAAAAATGAGAGAGAACATTTTCAAAGTCATACACGCGTGGTGTGAACTCGATCAACGAGTTGGCGAGAGGACGAAGGGAACGCGATGGAGAAATAAGAACTCCGTATATAGAGGGGGTGGTTATACCTGCGCGATCCGTACGCCGAACATCTTCGTCGAAGGCCCGACTCGTCTGGCTCGCCTGTAGGATTTTTCGGCATGATCCTGGACAAGGTGACGAAACAACGGAAAATCTCTTTGATATTGTAGTCGTCTTTGGCCGAGCATTCCATTACTTTGGCACGAAGCTTGGGTAATTCGCAGAACAACCATTCGCTGACGTCTTCGATCGGCACTTCTCTACGCGTCGCTGCGAGGTCCAATTTGTTACCAGCGATGACTATCGGCACCTCCTGTCTCGCGACGAGAGAAACGAACGAACGTGAGCGTAGAGCATGGATCTCCGATCGTCGAGCGTGTGTATATACCTGAAAATCTGGTCGTTGCTCCCTGACTTCTTCGAAGCATCGTTTCACGCACTCGAAGCTGGGCAACGATGTCGTCGCATAAACGAGAAGGAAAGCGTGTGCCGTGGCTATGCTCAGCCTTCTCATAGCCGGGAATTGTAGATCACCTGAAATTGCGAACAGAGTAATCGATGCGAGGGAAGCGGCTCGCATGATCAACGAGGTGAACGAGGTGATCGCAAAGAAGAGGAGGAGACGCAGGCTTACCAGCGGTATCCAAGAGATCGACTTTGAGGGTGAGCGTACCGAGGACGCATTCTCTCGAATAGAGGTCTTCGACGGTAGGCCTATACTTCTCGCTGAACCCTTGTCCGAGTAAACGACGTATGATCGCGCTTTTCCCAACACCGGCGCCACCCAACACCACCAGTCTGATTCTTTCGTTATCAGCCATTTCCGTGACGATCGTTCGTTGAGAAGAGATAAAAATTGCCACCCGATTCAAGAAGACATCGGCGGCTGCCTGTGGACTTTTCACACCGCTTCGGAGAATTCAATATCTCCTTCTATATTTTTCTTCTCTCCTCTCCCTCTCTCTCCCCCTCGCTCTCTTGTCGGCTTCCTTTTTGCTTCCGCCCTCCGTTTCTCCTCCGTCTTCTTCCTTTTAAACGGTCACTCGATTTCCCCTCGTGCTGGCATCGTCGAAGCAGCGGCGGTGATTCGTCGATCGCATCTACATTTTTCTAGAAAAAAAAAAGAGAAAAAAGAAGGAAAACGTTCGATCTGTCGGAACGCGTAGTTTCACCAGAGAGAAATGATCGTGGACGATTCAAGGAGAGGAACGCGTCGATTTGAACAGACAGACAAGTCTTAACAATTGAACTGTTTAATTTCAGCGCGATCGTACGCAAACACGGGTGTTTAGTGAGAAGTGTAAAAAAAGCGTGCGAAAAGCGGGTAGAAACGAGAGAAAAGGGGGAAGCAAATGAGAAGTGGCGTTCGATTAGACGGAAAACAAAGGGTTCGGAGTTGCGGAGGATTTTCGCTCCTCGAATACCATTTCCGCGCGCCACCGACAGTGTCGCGCTCAATTATTTCTTCTTATTGTACGGTTGTACGGGAAGGATAGAATTTATATTCGAGCCACGCGACATGACAAAGTTGAACGGCAAACACAAAAGGGGTCTGGATGAAAGTGTCTCGCAAGTTCTCTATAATCGATCGAGAAACGCGTTTCAAGGAACACGCCGGGGAATTGAAGCGGGGACTGTGTACGCGGTAACGAGAATCTCGATGAAGAAATTGAAACTTTCGACACGTACGATAAGGTGATCGCAAACGTGAAACTGTGCGAGTTAAGATTTGCAGCTGGAGATGCCATTGGTTTATCATTCTAATCAAACTATGGCCGCGATATTGGCATAGCTGCTTCTGCGACGAAATTGTGTTAAACGTCACTGCATTCGATCAATTTGGTTATCGATGCTAAATGTTTTCACGTTTGACGGTCAGTGGTTCGTGGTCGCCGCGGTCGTGTGGTTACCGTGGTCACTGTGCTGGATGCGTTCCATCGAACGCGAAATCAGTGTTACACGCGTGTATGGTATACTTTGATACTTTGACCGGCCTCGATAGGAGACGCACGTGTCAGGTACTAGAACCGCGTGAAAATATTCTTCTTTCCGGTGGTTATACAGGTATTGTTACTCTCGACCGAGAACGTAGCGCAGAATAGGAACGCGTGAATTGTGAAGTCTCGTTAACGAGATCGGCTCGTTATTATCCGTCGGTGCACCAAACTAATTAGCTCATCTCACCCGTTCAGGCTGCAAACTGTGCTGCCTGCATACGGGCGCCGTAGCGTGGCCGTGATCAGTACGCGGTTGCGCGTTCGCTGGGAGGAATAACAAGACAACGAGGAACAACGCCGCTGTTATCCATCGTTTGCGCTTCGATTTGCTGCGCGTCGCGTCCCGTCGTCACACCGTTAATACATACTATTGCAAGAACGATCGTTTGCAAATTGCCAATCCGCCAAGTATCAGAGAACGATCGCAAATTCGAAGCGGCACGGTTATTCACTCGTTTACGTAGGCTAAGCAGCAACCTCGTCGGGTAAGATTGTCAAGTTGCTCGCCCACACGGGAGACCAACTTTGCGGGACAAGATGCATCTCGTTTCCGCTCGTTATCACGCTCAACGTTGCGCTCGATTCACCAGCAAACTAGTCTCCTGGAATCTTGCCGATAAACCAAGGAGGCGCGCGAATAGTCAACTTGCTTTACTCTCTCTCGTTCTCTCTTTGTCGCGATTGTAGTCGTCGTCGCAATGTTAAATTTCGACGATAGACGAAAAGATTGCAGGAGGAAAGAGCAGAGTAGAAAGTTATAGCTTCGTGTGGTAATCGAATGATTCGAATGTGAAAATAAAACGAGGCGCGTCGTATTTTTTACGGGACGGGGTGCGAAGCTGTTATTCGCACGCAATATAGGGAAAGGAAAATGTACCGTGTGCTGGTAAAAGTTGATAGTGGTATATCTCGTTCGAACAAACTACCAAACTATACCTATATGCTGCACGGGTACAGGATTATAATAGAATTGTGTTCATTGTAAGGAGAATTGGTAGCTCGGTGAAAAGAAAAGTCTTGTACATATATAAAGTTGTTTCCGCTTCGAAATAGGCGGAAATGGAGCAGCGGATTCGTGTTCGGCGTGCTAAAGATACACGTGTATAACAGATTTTTGAGGACAGACTGGGGAGTCGTGGAGTGGAGGAAGACGATGCGGGGTCGCGGGCAAACGCGAACACCTCTCTCACATCGTACATCGAAGCCGATCTAGCGTGAAACGATCAAAGGCAGGACACGCCGATACCTAGCCGCCGATCTATTTCTACGTCGAGCCGCCCTTCCCTCGTACGTTCTCTTTTTCATTCCGCTCCTCCCCCCTCCAACTCTTCCACATCCCTCTTTGCTATCTATCTTCCACCCCACCTCGAAACATCCTAAAGACCGTTTATCGGAAAAATTGTCGCGTGTTGTTGCGTCAGTCGTGGTGTTTCTCGATCGATAGATCCTCAACGTTCGCACGGGATTTCTATTTTCGAAACGGCGTGTTTCTTTCCCGCAAATGTGAACGAAAGATTCGCGACGAGTGGATAATATACGCATCTGCTAGGAACGTGTCGCTTTGCTCGTTGTTGGTCAGTGACGTTAGCAATCGGAAGGAGTCAGTGGAATGGGAGTGCCTGTTACGACCGGACGTGACGGGACGCGACGAGACGCCCCACCATACCAATAAACCGCTAATGCTTCCGCGATTATGCACCCACTGTTCTCCTTGTTCGCGCGTTTCCATCCAAACTGAACGGATACCAACGATCACCTTTCGTCCTTTTTTTTTTTTCGTTCAATATTCATTTCTGCGCAACGCGACCGGAAGTAATTATCGGTCCTTCGTTAATGTCAAAGGTCGTTTCTCGACCGTCGAATGTCTCGATGATTAACCCGTTAAGCATTGTTTTTTTATACCGACAGTGAGTAAGGTGTGCCCCCGTAACCGTCACGGGCTTGTACCTTAAAACGCTTCGGATAAACGTATGTTAATGCAATTGACCTGAACATGGTCGGGAGAGTCAGCAAAGAAAGCGAAATACATACGTACTTATGTACTTATCAGTGAATTGAAATTTAAATGAGTAGAGGGGTGGAAGGCATAGAGAGAGAGAGAGAGAGTGATTGGCTGGTTGCAAGGAAATGCGCCACAGTATGTACAGAAGCTGGGAATCTTGAAAAGAAAAGAATATTTTGAGAAAACGACGTGCAGTCTGCTATGAAAAAATGCACCGACAGCGATGAAGCTTCAAAATTAACCGTTGTCCGATGTACTACGAAGGACATTAACCGCGAAAATTCTAATGAATCGCGACTCTTTGTTCATTTGTAGTCGCGGTGAAAACGCTTGAAATGGGAAAGCCACGACAAATATGGATAATATAAAGATCAACGAATATCGTACAGTATCTTTTCTTAACCGAAGAATTACGCAGGATCTCGAACATTTCCTTCTATACGCTTTATTTCGTTGAATCCGTTGAAAATTTTCCTCTATTCCTTCTTATTCCGTGTTTCGTAATTACTATGCGTCGATAATTGTTAACGACTAATTGAAATCTCATCCCTTCTTTCGTCTTATTTGATCGTGTTTAATCTGTGAAAATTACCTTCATTTGAGTAAACTTCATACTTTGCATTTATCGATACGGCGACGGTACGTCTTCATTAAATGAATAAATGAAAAATAAATAAACACGCCTTATACATTTGCCGTGAATATACTAGTAAATACGACTGACGAGGGAGGGGGAGGAAAGAAATTGTACATAACCTTAAAATCTCGACTTTTTATCTTGGTGCAACAAATCAAACATATGTTTTATTCAAACAGGGAAACGGCAAAATCAAGCAATGCCAGCTTTCGTGTACGTCGAATAATTAAGTGCACACGAAGAACGCGACAGTACAAAAATGCCTGTGATATAGTTATAATCGCGAAATATATAAATGCGTATATACAAGGATAAACGTTTATTTCACGTCAACGTGGACAGACGTATACGCGTTTCTTGTTTCTTTCTTTCATCTATGGTCAAATATTATACACACTAAGGTATACTAAGTGAGAAGAATTTGCTTTATCGGTCGACGATAATGATGATACTTTGTGTTCAACGTAGCAAAATCGAAATTCTACGATATCAGAATTTGCTTCTGTATAAACGAACCTTGTTCCTTATTTATCTGATAAAAAGCTAAAACTACACAAACGTTGACACGCGAAGCTTAGAGCGAAAGACGAATAAATCAGAAAATTACCACGCGCACCGATTCAAACTTTATTGCGTGTAAATTGTAGGGATGTGCGTGCATGCGTGGAAAGTAATTGTCACAAATCAAGTTTCTCGAAAAAAGAGCATCGTGATGATAGCAAGCTAGTAAAGTAGCATGCATGTATATGGAAGAAGAGAAGCTGATGACTTACCAGCGGAGAGATACGGACAGAGAGATAGAGATACAACCGGTAACGGATCGTACTCTACGATGCAATAGGAGAGAGAGAGAGAGAAAGAGAGATGTGTGTTGGGCAGCGTGGAACACGGCAGACAGGCGAAAAACAGCCCTAACTCCAATTCCGCCCGCTGTCGAGGCGGCACTGAACCCCCTTCAACAGAGGGTTTCTGTTGTGACTCGCGTTAGCCGCCGAGTACTACGAAAATCAACTTCCCTTTAAGGAGCGTGCGCAGCATTATTTATTTCCTGATAATATGGTCGATCGTACATATATACACTCTTATCGAATCGAATACGTATAACGTTTCTTCTTTGCCCATCTTGTTGCACGTTATTTTGCCTAGGATCTAAGATTTGTAACAATATGAAAAACCGGTCTTTCTATACTTACTCTGTTTCCGATAAAAATACGTGTCAGGACCAAATAAAAAAGAAAAGACTAAAAGGAACGATAGGTGCAAAATCAGTTTTTCATGGAGAAATGAAAAACGCTGTACCACATTGCTGTTTCTATTTTCTTATTACAACTTCTATGTACAAATGATCATTCACCTTTCTTTCTTTCTTTTTTTTTTTATCCAAATAATAATCGCTTATAGAACAGATCCTCGTGGATCGCATTAGCTCCCTTGGAGTGGGATAAATGGTTATAAATTTAAAAAAGAAAAAAAAAAGAAAGGTTCTTTTAATATTGTGTTAATTGTTTTTTAAAAAATGTTTTATCGCTAAGCGTTATCCGCTGTGAAACATTGTAAATACACCCAAAGAAAACCTTAAAACACCAGCTTATACATTTAAAACGTTTACATGTCATAAGTCATTATTTACACATTTAAGCAGCTATTAGTTTTTATCGCACGATTTTTCCCAGGAAAATTTGAAACTGACCAGCATTAGATTTCCGTACCAATGTTTTACAACGGTGATGCTGATAAGCGACAAATCGACCACATCTTTCAAAAAAAGACACGTACAATGTAGGCACCTATAGATGAAAAGCTAATTACCGATAATCATTCTGATACGAAACGAAACGAAAATGTGAATATGGTATTTCTTTTTTCTAATCGAATACAGAAGATTGGTAAACATACGATCCTGATACGCAGATACATCCAAAAGAAACGATACTTATGTGTAACTTTTAAGAATAAAATACGTATTTGCAATACGTTAAACCTTTCGAATGGATGATTTTGTCGGTAGTATGATATGAAACAACAATTATAAAAATTGATGTGTTCTATTTATAAATCTATTTCTTTATTGCATAAATATATCACCGCATAACGTTACTGGAAAATCGTTGGTTTTGCGGTTCGTGTAACAAGGGAAAACAGAATGCCAGACGCTGAAAAAGGAAAGACGTGGGACACTGAAATCGGAGGGGAGAATAAGAAAAGAGAAAAACATGAAAGATTGGAATATGGTAAATTGCTAGGAAAATATTAATAGAAGTAGAAATGACGGTCAGTCGTTACACGGTTCTCCTCCTCTTTCAGTTTATAAAAGCCTATTTGCTTTATCGCCATTCACCGTATCAACATTAACAACATTAACGCGAACATCGTTGTTATTGCGATCATCGCGCAACAAATGCTTTTCGCCGCCGTTTACGTAACGTAGTAATAAAAAATATATCTTTCCGATCTCTCTAAAATTTCTTTACAATTAATATTCAATTGATTGGTATATCACTAGAACAATAGAAAAATGGCGAAGATTGTTTATTTTCCTCTTTTCTGTAAAAATGGACCGCCTTCTTGCTCAGTCATCACATCACGGCTAACAGAATAAGCGTACTGCTTTACGTTTACTTCTTTCTCAATATAACTATAACATTCTGTCTATTAAGTCGCTTCGATTTTGAAACGCTCTCATAACGAAATCACGCGAACAACAGAATGCTCGAATTTTACTTTACACATTACCATCACGAACAAACCTCTTCGGGCTTTTCGACAAAAAATTAAGAGTAATAGGAAAAATTGACACGTATCGATAATCGAGCTAAACGTGTGTTTCTTTCTATTCTTCAGTTTTCCACCTTTCCTACGAAGCTTTCGATTTCTCGTGAAACTTGCATGGGACCTCGACGCATAATCATTTACAACGTTGCCCAATTTTTCTAGCTTTATCTTCACTTATGGCAAGTACGAAATGTTCGATGCGAACATTCAAACGAGCTTTTCTACAGGACAGAAAGAAAAGAAGAAGAAAGAAAGATTGTGAAAAATTACAGAAGGTACGACGTTTTGCGAAAACACTTTCCTCATATACTTTTGAAGCGAACTCTCGACTAACGAAGGCAACGTGTCGAGGAACGATTACCTGGTACATACTTCCAGATTTCTTTTTATATAGCATAAATAAGAAAATGAATAAAATACGAAGAAATCGAGATTGAAATATTTTACGATGAAGCTACTTGGTACGAAGCTTGGTACATTATACGTTGAGAAAAGTAACGCAGCAGTATCCGTACATAAGATCGGCTCGACGACGCGTGAAAAGGATGAAAAAAGAAAAGAAGAAAAATAGCTCTAAAATGTGAAGGTTTCTTAAAAGAGAAAGTAGAAAACAGAGAAATAAAAGTCAACAACCATCATCGAGGATTACAAACCCTTAGGTTACCGCTCTTAACAATAACAATAATAATAATAATATTAATGATCGTCGGAAATGATAGTCGTCCTAAGGAAGATCGCTTAATTAATCACCATTTTATCGTTGCGCGTTCAAAGGAATCGCGAACGGAGTTCGCTAAACGATATACGACTTTGTTGCTATTTGTGCTACTGTTAAACACAGCAATAGCTAATAAAAATAGTAATAGAGCTACAGATGAAAGAATAATTTGTACAGTATAGTATACCGGAAGGCAATTATCGTGTATCGTGTTTCAAAGCGATATCGTATCCTTCCTTTGGGAATAATAAACTCGGAAGAAACGCATATTCACGAACAATACCAGATAAGATAAAACGTGTAAGGCATATGCCGATCATGGTAGGTCCACTTTACTACGGTGGTTTCTCGTCGATTCGTTATTCTATTTTTTTGGACTTTATATCACCAGGAAAATTTCGCGGTCGTATGTTCTCTCTCTTGCTTTCGCACAAGTCTAGAGTAGTCTTCTCGTTCGTAGATTAGTAAGAACGAATAGTTGTAGCCGGTCGATTAATATCGTATGGGTTGCCAAATACCAGTGGTTTCGTCCCGGCGATAATAATGAGGTCTGTTATCCCGGAACACGGTGACGGCCGGAAATTGATTGTCCTGTATATACTTGAGCGTTGCCCGTACCTAAAAGCGTGTACGAATGGTCATGGTATAACAGGGGTTTACAGTTGGATAAGAAGCTCGATCAAGGAATCGATGAACAGGCAGGCGCGTTACCTGTGACACGAAATGAGGAAGTTCTACTTCTGGCGCGGTGGAAAGATGTTGCAGGATAAATTGGTCGGTCTGAGATAGCCAAAGATCGACTCCCCTCAGTGGATCATAGTTGAACGGTCCGATTCTGAGTAAGCCAAGTGTGCAGTCGTAAACGTCCAGTACCTGTATACAGCAACGATCCAGCGTACATTATACTCTGCTAGCTTTAATTGCACCCTCTAATATCGCAATAAGAAGGATCAACTACAGCCGTACGTACCTGTTGACCTCCGGTCAAATGTCTGGCGCATCTTAGCGCTTGATCCGGCCCTTTATCGGGGAACGTAGCAGGAAAAATCTCGCCTGTCTTCACGTTCAAACCGATGCCGTATATTAGCGGCCAATGAATGCCACCTCTAACGGTAGTGTTCAACTCGCCCACGCAACACAGAGTCAGATCGATCTCTACCGGTTGCTTGTGAAATGCCGCTGAAACGGAAAAGCAGTCCTCCTTGTTAAAAAAAAAAAATCGCGCTACGAACAGGGAAGCGGATGGCGGAGGAGGGAAAACTTACAAAGAATATTGCAGAAGAGTTCTTCGGAGTAATTCCTCGGGTCGGAATAACCGCCGACAAGTTGCAGCTCTAGACGACCCTCTGGATATCCAAGACCGAGCTCGGTTACCCTCTGTACCATCGCCGCTGCTGCATCTTCTGTGCCGGCTCCGTCGAGATGCGCCAACGCCGCGGCACCGGAACCTAAACGCCGAGGATCGATAAAAAAAAAAAACCGTTCGTCATCGACATACACGTGATCGTCGATATCCGCGATCATCGATTTGCAACGCGAGCGAAACATTTCCATCGTGTAAATAGACGTAACTATGATACAACTAACCACTAACACGAGTCCTTATCCTACGGCTTACCGGAATGCCTCACAACGACAATTATACAGGTAGTCACATCGTCCGAGCCGATAATGCTCACGTTTTCTGCAAAAGAAAAATGAAGAAAAACGAAAATGGAAAGACGTAGAAAGTTAGAAACGACGCGCAAATTTGCGCGATTGTCCCGATCGATCACCGATAGCGACAGTTCTCCATTTCCAGAATTAGCTGCAATCAACTACTACTCTGTACATATCTATATATATGTATATATAGAATATATCGCATCGGTGGCACGATACGCGCAAAATAAACACGAATATGTACATATACTGCAGTATTCGATATTGGTTGCAGAACTGGAGGAGATGTTGCATCAACCTTCTCTCTTTCTCTCTTACTCTCCCGAGCACATCTTTTCCTCTCCCCGTGTCAAAGTTATTCGAGTGAACGGTAATTGAAAGGAAAAGAATCGATTGCGCAAGCAGTATACCGAGGAAAGGCTTATACTTACTATCCTGTGGCAGAGTAGCGGCCATTTCCCGTTGTTGTACGTAAAGAAGACCCATAGGCCCGACCAATTTCGCCGGCATCGAATGAAGTTGTGCCGCTGTTTCGCGATATACCGGGTGGGCTGCGTAGAGGGATCTGCTATCGGTTGGAATGTCCTCTTGCAGGACCCCGTTCACCACCAGCACCATTCTGTGTACCGAACAAACAAACAAACAAACGCCTCGATTCGTTCCCGCTCTAATAATAAGATGTTTTCTTGGGAATCGAGAGAAGCAAAAGTGGTACGATACGCGATAAAAACGATATTACGCCAGCGCATCTTGTAACACGTCGGAGAGCGATACGCCAAATGTTTCTTACTCTGCCATGTTCTTTCGCTTTTTTTCATATTCACGTGGACAAAGTGGATGATGCGAGCTCGAAGATAAATCTCGAATAAGAAAATGGAAGATGGCACGTTAAAGAGTGTACACTTTTCGCAAAAGAGTCGTCTCTTCGTCGTACACTTTTCGATAAAGCGCGTTTCGCTATTTATCTGGATATATACCACGAACCAAGGGAGAAGTTACGACAAAGCTGGCTGTGCAAGATCGAGAGATCGAAGATCAGCGGCAGGCATTGTTGGCACTCGGACCCTGTCGCTTGTTGCGTTAATCGCGTTAACGATAAAACCTCAGGACAACCGTACCAGCCAGCCACAGCCAGAGTCAACCAGCTAGTCAGGCCTCTCCTCCTAACTTACTCCAAAGGTTAAGGTCATTCGCCTCGAACGACATTCTGCGTTTAACCTTTCGTTTGTTTAACGAGATTACTAACAAACCGAGAAATGAAACTGGCCTGTGCTTTCTCGAGAGACACCCCCCCCCCCCCCCCCCGCTCTCCCCAAATCGCTCTGAATTAATTGCTCTGCTACTCGTCGAACAAATTTCTATGAAAGAAGTTACACCGGAATTTTCTCACCTCGTGGGTGGAAGTTAATTTCGTAAGATCGCGACGCGTGGACGAAACTGCGGAACAATTGAAACTTTACGCAGGCTGTCGTTAACAAGTTTCGAGAAATTTCTCAAAAGCGTTTCACAGTTCGAAAAAAATCCGTTTCATTTTGACGTGTATGGCTCACCTTCGGGATGATTTCGATCTTCCAAATGGACGAAGCCTTTCACGACGGAAAGGCTAGGGAGCGACTTGCAAGTTGTACCAATTATATTTCCTAGTGCGTCCACTCTCGGATCGTAGGAAATGATCGATTTAACGATATTGAAAATTTCTTCGGATAGTATCGATCGACAGTGGAAGTGTCCAAGTTATATATACAGTTCCATCGATGGCATCGAGAGCAAGACAGCATCGGAGAAGTTTGGCGGTGTTGAAGTATCACGCATGTTTGGTAGGTGAGGCGAGCAAGGAGCACAGATGACGAAGCCGCAAAAGAAGATATACTGTCCGCGCTTATAGACGGAGTATACAGCACGCTTCTTGATGTTTCAACGAGATTCACAACGAGCCGTAAGTAGGTACGTGGCGGAAAATTGGATCGGCGCGATTCCGATCCGATCAACGAAGGGAATCCGCGTTTAGGGAAATATCGATCGGAGAGAAGCAGCGCACACGACTACCACTAAGCATTCACGACGTTTCATTCAATCGTTGTCGCGGTTGCTCGGGCTCATTAATAAATCACGCTAATTATGGCCTCTACTATCGGTGAGAATGCCGATTGGTCGATCGGTGCGATCCGTACTCTGCTAGTGGGACGGGTTAAAATCCAGCCGGGACCAATCAAAGCGGGTGGTACCGATCAGATATCGAGTCGCCACCACCGCCGTCGACGCCACTACCAACACGAATCAGAAAATAACATGTTTGCTTCGGCTTCGGTCTTCTCTTACCCCCTCACGCACTCACGCACACGTCCCTATCGCTCTTTCTCACTCGAAGCCTCGAGCGAACGAACACGTTCAAATCGAAATCCTCCTTTGTAGTGAAATTTTTTTTCTACTCGTCCCGTAGTTCAAGTTTTAAATCGTTCAAAAGCGATTCCAAGCCGACAATTACCGAGAACAATCATACTTCTCCTATCCTTATTTACAACCGCCTTCCCGCAATTGTGTTTGTATTTTTGTCGACGGATTTTCTGTGAAAAGTCACGCGTAAAAGCGAAACTATATATATATAGGAGGGGGGGACGATAAGAATTGTGGATGAAAAACGGGGAGATGAAGATCGAAATAGGGAGGATGCGTTAAGGTTGCCCCCCGTACGATTATGTAAACTATATTTTAATGAGCATTATCTCGATCGGTCCACATAATATATTCCCCGGCATGTCGAAACCTTCTTATCTCTTATGAAAAATCTTTTCCTCCCCGTAGAATTGTGGTGTAGAGGTTTTTTGAACGAGTATCGCGTACAAAAGTACAAGGAGTGTGGATAAAGAAGAAAGAAAATCAAGTTCCTCGGCTAAAATCCCCGGTTGATAAAGAAGAGCAGAGAGAGATAGGTCTCGATTCCGTCGATTCCGCGCCGCGATGGGATATAAGCCGCGTCGTATTATATACACACTTGGAGAACATCACCGAGAATTCCCATGGCTTGTGGAAAATTAGGACCACGCCGACGATAAGATTATACGGCTCGGTTCGTATAACCATTGTTACCAGCGAAAATTACACTCTTCAAAATCCATTGTACCGGATTGCCGGTCGCGGTAGGTAGTGCATTTTCTTCGTCGGTTTGTCCGACGTTTTCCTTCCTTCTCTTCGTACCGTCCCTTTTCCCTCCTTGCCCCTTTTGAAACGGTTCGGTCGGTCGGTCGCCGTGTCTCGTCTTAACACGCTTTTACGGCGAGAAAATCATTTGCCCAGGGCGATTAACGGGGGGTGAAGAAAATATGGATGATAAGGGGACACCACTCTTGCTACCCTGTATCGTCCAACTTGTCGAGATAACCGACGAGAATCGAGTTTTGCTATATAGTATATACGTACAATTATTGAGAGCGGGCAAGAAGGGGGGGAAAGGCGCAGAGAGAGAGGGAGAGAAGGCAGTCCTGGAATGGAGCGAAACATCGTGGCTGTTCGTGACCATAATCGGTGGAGAGACTGGCTGGCTGGCTGCGCAGATCGAGCCACACGGAAATCCACTTGAAAAGTAGCCATTACTTTAATTATTGGTCTTTCTCGGGGAAGACGCTATGTGTACGCTACTCAGAAGGTGGAACAGAGAGCCTGTCCGTCAATTCTCTTGTCCTTCGCCGATCGGTCAGGAATTCCTTTCTGTGACAATGCTCCTCAGACTTTTTAGCCAGGTTAAAAAGAAAAAGAAAAAAGAAAAGAAAAGGCGAGCGACGTGAATGCGATAATATTACCGAAAGGAGGCATATTGTGAATAAAATTGAATCGAAGCTGATTGTAAACTTGGCTAAAGAGTCGCGTGTACAGTTTCACGAAATCAAGATCGGAATATCTGGAGAGGAGCATCCGAGGGAAGAAGCGAGAACGTTCGAAGACGGTAAGTATCTCTATAAGCCTCTCTCGATCGAAGCCTTTCTTATCCGCGATCCTTGCTCTTTTCGAGGGTATAATTTAGAAACGGCATACCAGAAACTTCGTATCTGCTCCTCCTCCTTCTCCTCCACCTCCTCCTTCTCCTCCCTCTTTCTTTTCTGTACCGATTACTCGCGCAGAATGCACGGCAACCACGTAGCGAGGCACACCGGCGCGTATATACCACGCTGGCGCTACACGTATACCTGTACACCGTATACGCGCTCGGCGTAATTACACAGGCAAGATGCGGCGGCGCAGTTATTTATTTAAGCGTAGAAAAGGGCCGTAGTAGCCATTAACGGGTGCCTTTCCTCGAATCACCTTCTTCTTCTTCGTGGCCGGTATTCTAATGACCGGTGATTCCATGCCCGGGAACCTTCTTCGTCGAGGGACTGCGCGATTTTGCCAGGATCAAACGGGAGATTTTCATTCGCCGATGTTTCATCTCGTTATTACATTTTACCAAGAGACTGTGCGGTTCGCGATGGAACGTGTATCGATCGACATAATCCGCGAACACACGGTGCCAGGATACAACTACGGGATTCACTGGACTGATGGAAGAAGAACCTTTGGCTTTAAGAAGAAGAGGAAATCTGCTCGCGCTTGTAAAGGGTAAATCCCGCGTTGATGCTTGCCCACACGTACCAAGGTATTAATTAACCGGCATAATTAAACGGCCTGGCAATTACCGTTATCGTTGTCGTGATCGGATACGGATCTCATGGTTGGGTGTAATCGGTCCTAGAAGACCGAGATACAACGATACGGATGTCGCGGCAACCGCTGATACGCGAGATAGTTCTAGCTTCGAGAGGATTCACGGCCTCTCGGCGTAAACTTGCCTATCACGTATACGATATATATATATATAGCATATATCTACATAGAATATACCTACCTATACGATTGCGTTGGACGAAAAATGCCCGTTGTCCGTGCAATAATTACCCATCGAGCAGTGCGTACACATATGTATATAATATTTCATGTCGAAGAGAAGTGGGAACACGAGCACGCGAGAGACCAGTGGAAAATTTCGCGCCGTCGCGTCAGTTCGACGATTGCACTTGTCACGAGTAACATGATAAATTGTTATTACCAACAGCAGGAGGATCGTGTTTACGCGGAATAAGAAGGAAGCAAAAGAAGAAATCGAGAAACGGAATCGAATAGTTACGCGATAACGATTGACGGACGGACGGAGAAAGAGACCGGCGTCGTTTTATCTTTGCTGGAATTGAATCGCGACCGCGTTGATGCAACGATCGTTCTCGATAGAGTGCCTCTCTCTCTCTCGCGCGCGCGCGCGTGCGAGGATCTCTTATCGAGTTTCGATGCCGATCTGCGCCGTCGGTACGAAAGAACGATCGACGACAATAACGGCTTTATTCGTTACTACCGACTTGGAACGAACTTCTTTCTTTCTTTTTTCTCTTCTGCGAGTTCGTCAATAGGCCCCTGTGTCTTATTTGCTCGATTCACGAACCTTCGGCAGGATCCATCCGTTATAACTATACATTCTCCACGCAACTTCTCCGATCCGGCAAAAACGATCGAATGCCTGTGATTCTATTTACTGCCCAACTATGAGAATCCTCTTTGTCCAGAACGAACGTCTGTTGTTATTGTTCGAACGATCGATGTAACGAGTCAAATATTCGATGGATTTCAATTTCCATTGAACGTGTACACGTATAATCCCAGATAAAGAGAGAATTTATCGACTCGACGGAAAGGTTATCTCGACGGAAAGCGAGCGAAGGACATTCTCTAACGCATCGATCCGCCTCTTTTTCATCCAACTGTGACGAACGTGAATAATTACCAGTTACGATTTGGTGTTTCCCCTCTTTTCGAGGCTGCGTAACGATCTTGCCCGGATAAACGAGCAAACCGTCTTACGATAAGATTTAGTAGGACACGAATGTAACGTAGGTACTATGTATTTATGTATCTCGGTGAAAATGCGACGTAGAAAATTCGACTGTGAATGGGGAATATCCGTTTGATTAGAAGAGAACAGCAGCGAACAAATGGAAACTGTTTTTAAAAAGAAGCTGCTGCTGCTGCTTCTCTCTATCTATTTATCGATCTATCTCTCTTTCTCTCCGTAGACGAATAGATTTGGATCGTTCGTAGAGAAAGAAGGACAGCAGCAACTCCTTGGTTCTCCGTGTAGCCCTCGGGCTATTATATAAATTTATGGCTTTTCCCTGGTCGAAGCGGCGGACGATAACGCGCATAATAAGCGCGGTCAGATAACGGGTGACGCATAAGTGTTAACATAGCCCGATAAACGGTGACCGAATACGTACATAGATCGGAAATGGTTTAGCAGTAGTGTGTAACGCCGTTGGAAACTTACGAGTTATAAATATGTATTTACGAAGGAGTTTCCACGAATCGAGCATCGATGCTCCGTTTTACGAGTTCCGTTGCGACACTCACCTCGCGCGTCCCTTTAGGTTTCTCTTCAGACCAATTGACACGTTCCTGCCGCCATTCTCCAACAATATCCCCCGTTCTCGGTTCTTCCCCTTACCCTCCTCCCGCGTTCGACTCTTCCTTCAGTGATCACTCTATTTTTCTCTTTTTCTCTCCCTCTCTCTCTCTCTCTCTCTCTCTCTCTCTCTTTCTCTCTATTTCTCACTCTCTATCTTTCTCTCTTTCTCTCTATTTCTCTGTCTGTAACAAGAAGAAAGATGCGCCAGACCGCGATTAGAGCGGACTTTTGTTTAACTTTGTACCATATGAAAATTCGTCTCGTTGAAAAAAAAAAACACTGCTCGAAACGAGACCGCAGCTTAAGGCGGGTCGATATGTAACGCGAAAATCTATCACGTATATACAGATTTAAGGTTAGGTTCTCGCGTTCGTTCCTCTCTGTCGCTACGCGATCTATTGCTTTCGAAGAAAAGTTCTAGCTGTTTGAATGACTCATCGGGAATAACGGTAAATTGCAGGTTCGTTCGCTCCAACTGCAACAGCGATATTACGAAGCGCGGTAGTAGAGGCGGATTTCGCGTCGCCACCGCCAAGCAAAATATATACAAGAAGCTTTACACTCGGGGATCTACTACGCTATTCTTCTGCTACGCTAGTTTCGTGTCGTCGAAGAGACAAAAATTCGTGAAAAACTGCTATCTCTTGCTAGGATAGAGAATAATCTATTCGACGTAGTAAGTTTGCTCGTTTTATGCCCCGTCGACGCGCAGCGGCCGTGTGCTCTCGCGTAAACTAACTATAGGTACGGAATACACAACCGGTAGAGTTTGAATTTGCATACAGTGGCCGAAGCGAGGCTGCAACCGACGACCGACTCTCTACATATTTATGCGCTACGACTTCCTCCGATTGTTTATAAACGCGTTACATACACTCGCGTGCTGTTCGTTGGTTGTCGAGACGCGACGACAACTTTGCATTTCTTTCTTTCTTTCTTTCGTTTTTTATACACTTTGCTAGCGTGGACTTTGATCGAAACACGTTCGCTTCTCGACTCGCGTGTCGATCGCGCGGTTGGAACATTTTGCTTCTATAGACGCACGCGCGCAGCATGGTATAGTATGTTACGCGAAAGTCCAGCCGGAAAAACGGAGAGTGAGAGAAAAGCGAAGTTGGAGGGACAAGTTTTTATTTTTGTTTTTGTCGAGCGGAACGGAATAGAACTGTCTGTAATATGAACAACAACGATCACGATGACAATTATAATGATTGATACAATAATAATAATAGTAATCATGCTAGAACGTTGGAAAAGATGGCTATAGGCCCCCTCTGCATGCTCGTGAACGTATAGGTGGAAGGAATATGGATAGGATGCGGACGCGGACGCGGACGTGAACGTGCATGTGCACGTACACTACGAGCTAGTCCGCATTCCACGAGTGGAACAACCGGTACACGGTCCAGTGACTCTCAAGTCGCATCTCAAGGAGATGCATTCGAACCAGATGGAATCGTTATGCAACAGAAGACGAGAGAGTCAGTGGCCCGGTGGATTCGCGGAAGATGACGAGCTCTGCCCTTCCGGGTCCCCTTTCCTTTCCTTTCCTCTTCCTTTTCCCCTATACTTCTCTCCACCCCCTTTTTCCCTTCCCTCTTTCTCTCATTTAAACTCCCGCCACACGCGGTTTCGCGCGAAACCGCCTCACCACAGTTTGCTGCGATCGAAATCGAAAGTCGCGGTGCAAACCCCGTCGGATTTACTTTTTTTTCCTTCTTCCTTTCTTTCTTTCTCCTCTCCACCCGTTTTCTATTCCGCTCGACGAGAGTCGATTATGCAACAGATGGAATAATTTCACGTTTCACCGTACCGCCGCACTTTGCTACGGATCTATACTTAAACGATTTTTACTACTATCATTTTAGAACGAGATCAACTGTTGTAAAAAAGGAAACGCAAGTTATCCCTCGCAGGAACGAAATGG